CCTCTCAAGACCCTTTAAGTTACGACGCCGTTTTTGTCAAAACACAAACCTCTGGATTCGTGTCACCGTAGAAGCTCCGGCTTCATTAAAGTTGTGGACTTTATTTCTTCATCAAGACCTTAAGACAAAAGAAAGAACATAGATTTATTACCAGAGAGAGACCAAGATCCTCGTTTATAGGATTCATTGTGTTCTGTTCTTTGGAAAAAAAAAACCCATCTTTTTTAGAAGCTCACACGAAGAAAAAACCAGAGTTTGTCAAGTTTTAGCAAATGCTGAGTCTCTTCTCTGAATTCTCTCAGTAAGTTCTTTAATATCTTTGTTCTTCACTTGCTCTGTTTTTTTCCCTTACATTTTTGCTTTAATGACAACTTTAGGTTTTTTAAGGCTAATCTTTCTTTTTTTTTTGAATTGATTTTGTTCTCATCTTCTTGTATGGTTTTTGTATTGAAGTTCGCTTAGCTTTGAATCTTGTCTATAGAAATTTGAAATCTTTAGTTTCTTGAGTTAAGAGTATCATGCATATACAAATGTATTATTGTCTCTGTATGGAAGCAAAGCATGGTAATCATATTTAAAACATCTATGATTGTTCTACTAGATTTAGAATAATACTTCAAAAGCTGATGTGATCTTTAAAAAGAGCCTAACCTCCCATAATCTACTTTCTTTGACCATTTGTCTGGCTAGTGGGTACTAATTTTCTAATCCAAAGTCAATATTCATTCTCTAATGCACACATTGGTTGGTCCAAACCTTGATTTGCATACCCAAGTCACCGATTTGTTTGTCTGTCTTGATAATACCTCAAGGCGTATAGATTTGTCCTTGTGACGCTGCAAAAAGCAAAGTTGTTTTGAGTTTGTAATCTTATGTTTGTTTCTGCAACTTGCTTTTGGATGAGAGCCAAGAGATTTAGATTCTCCTCACAATGTATCTCTTTTTAAAGGGTTGCAAGTAAAACCAGTTTCTTATGTCTAAAAAACCGATCTTTTTTTTTGTTGTTGTTCTAATGACAAGGAATGGAATACTTTAGAGACTCGTCAGAGATGATGATGGAGAATAAGCGTAGTGTCTACTCTCTTGAAGAAAGCAACATTAAACGACACAAGTCCGGTCTCTCCTCTTTCTCTTCCAAGGTCTTACAATACTCTCAGAATTCCTTGTGGCCATGAAGCTTCCTGACATTCTTGGATCAAAGCATGCTAATGATCTTGGATTTTTGTTGTTGTTCTGTGGTTAAACAGGAGAGGAAAGATAAGGTTGGAGAACGTATTTCAGCTCTTCAACAGCTAGTTTCCCCTTATGGAAAGGTACTACTATTCGGTCCGAATACCCTTTTCGAGCTCTAAAAGTCATGTTACAAGCCTCTATTTCTCTCTGCAGACCGACACTGCATCAGTTCTTCTAGAGGCTATGCAATACATTCAGTTTCTTCAAGAACAAGTCAAGGTCTGCACTAGTTTCTCGAATCCAAACATGTTTCATTTCTCTCCTCTGATCCAACAATGAATCTGCTTCTTGTCTGTACAGGTTCTAAGCGCTCCATATCTACAAACAACGAACATTATCAACGAGGAGGAGCTAGATGAGTACAGCCTTAGAAGCAGAGGTTTATGTCTTTTTCCAATGGAGTATGCATTAGGGGTTGCTCAAACCAATGGTGCTGATATTTGGACTCCTGTGAAAACTCCAACTTGTCCTCCTGCATTTAATCTCAAGTATGATTCTTCTTCGCCTTTTCGATGATCCGAGTCCACACCAGAAACCACTGCTAAAACCTCTCTGTCTCAAGACTAAAGAAGATAAAAACCAAACATTAGTAGAATGATGTCTCTATAACATATGTATTAATATGGAGACCATGAAGTTGGCTCAAAACAGCTCATAGTCAGTGATTGCTGTTTCTTGAATTGTATAATTTGGTTAATAATTGATTCTAATTCAAAGTTTAAGTTACTAGGAATTTTAGCTTGAGCTCCAATATAAGAACATAAATCGAGTTTTCGAATTGAACAAGTCAAAGTGTAAAACAAACTGAAAAATTTGCTAAGATCTACTCAAAGTTTTCTAAAGATGAATATTTGAACCGGTCATTCCGGTTTAATTCGGTTAGGGAAGCTAGTTCTGGGTAGGAAAACCGGTTAAGAAAAACCCGACCCGACAATGTGCAACCGGTTTCTGTTTGGGGATTTTGAAGCCCTCAAAATCAAAATC